CATAAGGCCTGACATCCAATAAATATGGCAGAAAGCAAGACAGGCATCAGAACACAAAGGCCATGTGCTCAGAGTTTGAGTCCCGAGAAAGCCCTTATTAGCTTTTTAATTATTAATCTTGAGTGAGTTTGAGTCCCGAGAAAGCCCTTATTAGCTTTTTAATTATTTTGCAGCACCAGGGTTGAAACACGCTAACCAAATGTTCTACCACTGAACTACACGCCCGCCCCCAGTTCACTAAATTTTAATCCCTCTGGGCTTTGGTTTTGCTAGGGTTTGTGTCCCCTAAAAGGTCATGAATTGGTCTCTATTTGCCAAGAACAAGTGGATATTTTGTTACAGTGATAGAAATCAACTAAAAGAATTTCCTCACCCCTACTGGGATCAACAAATGCATATTTCCTCCAAAGATGTTTTTGGTTATTTAATGAGGTCACCCCTACGAAGCACATGACCCAGTGCAAGACACACACCAAGTTCTTGATAGATACTCTATTACTATGATTAATAAGCATTCAAATACTATTCCTCATAACATTCATTAAATTTTATTATTAACATTCAGTTCTTAATATTCTCAATATTTCATTCTGAAATAGTTATGCTATTAAGACTAGAACCAAGTCTTCTCTTGCTCAGGGCTCTACAGGGCCCTGAGCTCAGGGCTCAGGGCTGGCAATGGGCCCAGGTCAGTTTCCATAACTACCCACCAGCCGCTGGCACAGCAGAGCAGGGAGCTGCTCACAGATGGGTGACATGCATCTCATCTGTGCTCTGAGAAAGGGAACCAATTTCTTTTTAGAGAGCAGAAGCACGCCCATTCCACCCAGCTATGTACCCATTCTTCCCTCTACATCAAAGCTAAGACTAGATTTAAGAGATCATCTTGTACAGTATTTCTCAAGGCCAAGGGTCTTTGGACATTTCCCTAGCAGGACTTCTCCTCTGCTAGTGTTGATTCAGGAAATGTAGTCCTATCTGAAGGGTTTCCCCTAGAGGCTTTCTATCACACAGCAGTAATGACATCAAGCAGTCCGTGAACATTGCAACTGGATGGCAAAAATGCCTGCTCTGGGAGTGGCAGTCAGCTGGGATCACAATAGCCTTATAATTAGAATTAGGGTGACTAATTTCCAGGTAAATCAGAGGCTCTTTCAGTTTGCTTTTCTAGAAATTACACCCACTAATGTCCAGCCTGCCCTGAATCACTTGCTACTCATAGCAGAAAGAGTTGGAGTCAGAGAACTCTACAAATAAGGCAGATAAATGCATGTGACCTGATCCATGGAGACAGGCTTCCTCTTGTACTGGAAAGTGGTGTGCAGAAGACATTAGGTGAGTTGTCAGATTTTCTGGTATCTAAGGGAAGTATCAGAGAGCATTCCTGACACAGGTGAAATGGGCAACCTTGGGTGAACTCAGGTAATGCTTTCCCTTTCCTGATAACTTCTTTGTAAAATAACAGAGTTAAACTACATGGCCACCTAATCCCAGCAGCTTAGGTGGCTTACTGCCTAAGTAACCACTTAAGTAGTTACTATTTTGGCTTATATAAAATTACCTGAACATCTGTTCATTCATTGGTAATAAGGGTGGCTGGGGATGTATCTCAGTGGTCATGTGTTTGCCTACCATGCACAAGGTTCTGGGTTCAATCCCCAGCACCAGGGAAAATACAAGAGATAGTAAGAGGTAACTTACATGACTTACCTATTTCATACAACAGCCCTATGAAATTGGTACCATTAATATTCCCATATTATAGATGCAGAAATGGAGGCCCAGAATGACTAAATGTGTTAACCAAAATCATGCTCAAGAGTGAGGATGTTTAACCAGGCTATATAAGCCCAAGTTCTACACTTTTAACCAATAAGAATAATAATAATGAAAACACTAGTAAATAGACCATACATGCTACAAGGATTCCAGATCTTGCTTTTAGAGATGTCTCCACTTTAGCCATAAATGGTGTGTGTGTGCCAGCTCTCAGGAATACTTAATATATATATATATATATATATATATATATATATATATATATCATTAGCGTGCTAACTCTGGACAAGTGCTAACAGCTCCCCTGGGCTGAGTGTCCCTAACTCATCCTCCTTGTGCAGCGTTACAGGGTCCCTCTGGAATTATGTGGAAATGTGCATGTATATCATTCTGAAGGGATATTTCAAAGATTTTTCTCCGATTCTAAAAGAGGTCAACACCAACTCATCTTTTGACCATTAGTAAAACTGATTTTAAGTGGGAAATGGTGTTGCCCAAAAACACACAAAAAGAAGTCACGGAACAGCCTTGGATAACTGGCTCCCAAACCCAGGGCCCAGGGGCTCCCTCACAATGACTTAACTTCCATTCCTCCAACAGGGCCTGAGGGCCAGCTGGGGTAGAAATACATTAGTAGGGTAACATGCAGAGCTTTGGGTGTGTTTGGGAAATTATCATGCTTCATGTAGATCTTTCAATTTAATGCTGAATCTCTGCATCTGATCATTATTTTGTAGTTCCTGTCATTGGTAATTATGCTAATTTTCTTACTTGTCATCTGTGTGAATGAAAACTTAACCTATGATATTTTATTAAGAATTATTCTAGTCCTCCGTCTACTTGGTCTCGCTCCTACCTTCCATAGATACTCAAGGTGCTTGGGCTTTGGACCTCATCACTTTAGTTGAAAATAATTGGCCGCAATATAACAGAAAACAGCTAACCTAGTAAAATGAGTTAATGGCTAAATATTGACAGAGGAATCAAATATCCTGATGCTACTTAGATCAACTAAATTCAAACCAGGAAAAAAGGACTTAGTGGAAATAAGGCCATGATAGAAAATTCACAGTGGCAAAATATAAAATTTGAAATTAATAAATTACATCCAATTAACCCGTCCATAAAATTTTACATACAAAAAATCTTTATAATATTATTTTGATAAATTGTGAAAAGTATAAAAAGTAGAAATTGACTGAACATTATTTTGGGATAAAATTGTTCAATAAACAATAATAAAGAAAATAATTTCTTGACAAAAAATCTGCTGTTGTTTATTCTCTCGCCTTGGGAGTTTTAAAACATGGACCCTCAAAGTTAAATCATGGAGGCCAAAACATCTACCAGCTTAAACAGTAGATTCAGAATGGCTGCATTTGTACCAGGGGGTCACAATTCTGTTGTTTGGTGAGCAATGGATGCAGCTATTTGCAGGCAATGTTAAAGGGGAGGCCAGCTGAGGCAAAGGCTGACTTGTATGCTCACTTGAGTTGCCAAGCAAGTAGCCATGTCTTAACTCTTAGTGTGAAAGTCATGGGTGTCAGGTGAAGAACTGTTCAGAGCGGCAGGCGGGTCCTTGGGTGTGCAAGAGCGCCTTCTCTTTGCCTTCCATTTCCAAGGGGCCCCAGGAATTACTTGCCCATGTCACCTCCGGAAATAGGCACCGGCTCTTCTACCAGACCTGGGGCCCACTGACCATCTGAGCCTCATTTTCTTTGACTAAACTAGGGGCTATGGGATGCTACTGCCCACTCATACACACTCCTGAGAATAAACTGTTAAATTTTCAACCATGTTGAACACATTCATGTGATTGTTAAGCACATTCATAAAGAATATAACTAGTTTGATTTTATCACATTGGTAAGAGATAATAAATATTCAAAATTTATTATTCCTAATGAATTGAGTTTGCTTTTATCCATCTTGGGTTACCTACACCTATGGAATCTGTATGGTGGGAATGCTCTCTAGTGCTGAGCTCCAAGGAATGTTTCACAGCTTCATATTCAATGCCATCACCTTAGCACCTTGACATCAGCCACGGTGGAAGTCTTTGGCAAGGCCTGCAGGTCTGTCAATTGTTGAGACTTAAGGAAGCAAGGCTAATAATGTAGATTTCACTGAAAGCTGTGTTGACTCCATAGCTGTTACATGAGAATGAGCACAAAAACTGAGGCAAAATTCTTTCCAATGTAACAAAACATCACCCACATCTTTGACAAGTAAGTCAGTGATTTCCCAAAATCTTTGTTCCTTCACTTTCACCTTACTTGTTTACAAAAATATAAACCAACATTCATGTCAAAACGACACTAACCTGGTTACAGCACAGTGTCTCTAGCTGTAAGAGTTCTGCATAAATTAGTGAGCACATTGTCTGAAAACCAACTGCCTGTATGAAATTTACACTGCAGAATATTGATGTCATTGTTATTTGTGAACTGTGTGCTGTGTAGTATTTATAAAAGTAAGATTTATGGTACATTTGAGAATGCATATATACATATTTTATTTTTCTGAGAGCTGGTTATGAGAATCGGAACCTTGGCTTCCTTCAGAAGCCTCTCCATCTTTCCCTAAAATACTGCTAGGAACTGTCACAGCCACCAGGCATTTAGGCTAAGTGAGGTCATGGCAGGCTCAGGGGCCAAGGAAGTAGCTAGAAGCTTCCGGCCAGAGGGAAGGAAGGCCAGTGTTTATAGTGACCTGACGGTTGGCTCCAGAACGGCTTTTGTCTGCTCAGAACCTTTATTTATTTTCAAAAGAGCCTAAGGCCTTTGACCCCAGTTTGAAGTTAAAGGACAGGAAGAAAAGTCCTTTTCTTTTCTTTTTTTTTTTCTTGAGACGCTATGCAGTTTGAGCTGGCCTTGAACTCACTTTGTAGCCCAGGCCCGCTGCCTCAGCCTCCCAAGTGCTGGGATGACAAGGGTGCGCCACCATGCTTGGCAGAAAAGTCCTTTTCTTCCATGAAGACTGGTCACAAAGTTGGCTGGGTTGCTGTGAAGACCTGGCCCAGGACAGCCCCCAACCCTGGATGAGATAGTTCATGTCAAAACTAAAAGAGTATGATTCCCAACTTCTTCCTAGAAGCTCATTTCCTGGGAGTTTACAGGAAGCCCACATTGATATACCTATTTCAGGTCACTCTTATGTTCATAAGGAGCATATTTATTTATTTTATTATTATATACATGCATAAATAACTGCACAAATAATGCTTGAAACCATTCATTTATTTATCCAATAATTAATGTTGAGCACCTTCCATGGGTCAGGCATTGTTTAGTGCTGTGAGTATAGTGATGACCCAGATAGACAATCTCTGACCTTACGACATATAATCAAGTGGACAATATGAGCACTACACTTATTTCACATTCAGTTGGATGCACATTGTAAGTATTTTCTGTACATATTGCAAGTTGAATTGTCTTTTTTCCCCAAAATCAGACGTTCAGAAATATCTGCCTATACAACAGTAACAACAGCAGCCAACACTTGTGTAGCGTGTGCCATGCATTTCATATACGTTAAATCACTTGATCCTAAGTTCTATTGTCACCCCTGTTTACCAGTGGTGAAGATGAGACACTGAGTGTTTAAACACTTGTCTGAGGTCACACATTTGATGAGCAGTCAAATGCACAAGGCCTATCTGGCCAAAGTTCTATGAGATTTAGCAAAAGCCCAGTTGATGTTTCACGCAATGCTTGCAATATAGATGAGGCTGGGATACATATCTTGATTGTATAATTTTTCTGCTGTGGGACTTTGGGCAAGAGTTCACGACCTGTTTTTTTTAAACTTGTTTCTTCATATATGTTATATGAACAATCTGCAATTAGTATAACTATGTGTTAATTCTTGGAAAGAATGTTAAGAGAAGTCAGTGATATAACAAAATTGCAACACTTAGCACAGTGTCTGGTCTGTGTAGACTTAAATCTAAGCTGTTGGCATGAGAATGATGAAGTTATCAGAGGATCCCAGTATTCTAAGGAATTCACAGGTTTCATATGGTCAAGGACTGTCATTACCTTGCTTACTGGTGTGGGAAGCTAGCCCGTAAAAGGTGTTGCCAATTTGTTGGTTGGTTCGTTAGGTGGATGGGTTGATGGTTGGTTGGGTGGTTGGTTGACTAGTTAGTTGACTGGATGACTTGCTGCACAGATGAATCAATGAATGAATGTTTGCATGGACAGATGGACAAAGGAATGCAGACAGAGGTCTGTGTCTCACAGACCTAAACTCAGACTTTTCCTCCTCCCCATTCTCACATCACAGATGCATCCTGCCTCCTCTGAGCAGACTGACAGGTACTCGGAGGCAGGGACCAGATATTTTTCCTGAGTGTTACCATACTCTCAACCTATGATTCCCAAAGAAGGACATTTAGGATTCAAAAACAATACTCTGGCCATTTAAGCCTAAACACACCAAAGATGTCACTTGTTGCTAAATCCTCTTCATTCTCTAGAAAATTTCACAACTGAAGGGATTTTCTGGGGTATTTGTTACAGTGAGAATTATACAAACCGAGTTCCCTGCTACTAGACTTCCTGGTCATCTGTCTTCCTGAGAACAAAGTAAAGCTATCATAAGTTCTTAGGAAAATATTTCTCTTCAAGATGCTAAGTTCTTAAAGAGAAAATACGTGGCCAGGCATGGTAGTGGCTGCCTGTAATCCCAGCATTCAGGAGGCTGAGGCAGAAGGATCATTGCAAGTTTGAGACCAGCCAGAGCTACAAAGTGAGTTCAAGGCCAGTCTGAACTATATAGCAAAACCTTGTCTCAGAGAGAGAGAGAGAGAGAGAGAGAGAGAGAGAGAGAATGTGTCACCATGTAACCAAAATTATATAGCTATTAAAAGCATTGGTTTTCAGATCAGCCCAAATCTCTGTACATGTCCTAACCACTTTGAACCTTGATTACTTCAGATACGCTCAGATATATGGGGAAACTACCTTCTTTATAGAGTCAATTGGAGGATCATATCCTATACAACTGGTGAGTTATTTAGTGTAATGCCTGGTACAGGCTCAGTAAAAGATCATAACTTATTCTACTACCTATTGAAAATTAGAAAGAGACCCACTGCATCTGCAACAACTCATATTAAACAGATGGAGATTATGCTTATAATTCCCAATAAACTTTTTGAGCATCTATATAACAAGCTCTATTATACAATATCACGATAACTCATGAGCAATAAGCAGTACATCATGTTTTTAATACTTTCTCCCTCTCATAAATGATGAGTGGATTTAAAAATGAATGTGAAGCTTCATTCACTCATATTTTATTCTCCAGCACCACAAATCTTGGATACGAGTCTATCTGTGTGTCAGCCCCAGGGCTAGACTCTGAAAATGCAGTGGTAATGACCCTGACCAGAGCCCTCCTCTCCTGGAGCTTCCAACAGCAGTGGAAACCAAAAACAAAACTGAGCCACAAAAACAATAATTTGAATTATGATAAGTGTCCTCAAACAAAAGTACAAGGATCCGTAAGCACATACATAAAAGCAAAACGTAGTCTAAGAATGTCAGGGAATTGAAAGACAGAGAGACATTATACCACTGGAGAGAGAGAAACAAGCACAGAACTCAGAAAAGGGACAGGATGTCAGTCTGTGTAACTCTTAGGACTATGAGATAACCCAAAACGTAAATCCTCCAAGTCATTTGTTCATTTGGCTCTCTCTCCCTCCACCCACCAGCATCCCAATCCACATGTTCTATGACAAAGAAGTAGTTTTGTTCAGCCTGATGAATAATGAGTTGTTTGGTTACCAGAATCACCACACAGCTGTTATTGTGGCCTGGTCCGCAGCTACTCCCCTGAGGAGGCAAGCAGATGGGACGATATTGGGAAAATTTAGAGACATTCCTAAGGCATCTCCGTGAGGCAGACGTCCAACAGATCCCCAGATGCACAAATATCAAAAGTTCTCAATTTCTAAGAAAGTTCAAGAACAAAAATTCATCTCCACATGTAATATGTGAGCCACCTAAGGAAGGCAAAGTAACTGAGACTCACATTTATTAATTTAAGTATGATCTCTCTAGATCAGAAGGATTAAACTGGCAGAAGAGAGTGCTTATTTTAAAAATCCTTTGGATGAATGACAGTAAAAGTTTGCAATCACAAATCAAATAAAATGGAAGGTTAAGAAAAGATAGAATACAACATTGCTAAAACACACCGAGTGTATGAAAAACTGCTTTTCCACTACTTATGTACAGAATTTAAGCATCTCAGCATGTGTGCGGGCTGCACCCAGCCTCTCCATTTCATGATGCACACTTGGAGAAGGACGATGTCCCGGGCAGCACTTCCATCAGAAGCAGGTTGTTCTCTCCTGCCTGTGATCTCCTTCTTGGGCCACATTCACCTTCTGGTCCCATGACCAGTGACACCCACGAGGCTGCACCTGGCTGCCGACCTCCCCTGCTCAGGTGTTCATCATCTTCTGCTAATGGCTCTGTAGCTCCTGCTGCTTTGCTCACCCTGCTCCTCACCTAGAGTCCACTTAGAATCTCGTTTACACTTTATTTACATTTCTCTCTACTTTGCCATTGTGGCATTTCTGTTCCTCCTTCCATTTTCCATTTGGGAAACTAGCCTAAGTTACCTGACTATAATTCATTTTTTTCAAGATCTGGAACATTTGGTCTCCCACACTAAAGTCATCAATTTTTGACCCACCAGAAAAAAATATGTTGACCTCAGGCCCACTATTACAAGCTGCTAAAGTAAGCTTTAATCCAACTTCTATTCGTGATGATATGAGGGATAGAGTCTTTCCCAGGGACGCATCCCCTGTCATATTTATGCAATATAATGTAAGGGTTCTGGGCTCTGATGTCAACATCAGCCAGACAGACAGACATGAGTTCACTGTGATTGCTTACTGAGTTGGACTTAGACAAACTTTCTCCTTTCCATAAATCTCAAAGATACTAAAAGTGATATTCTCTAACTTAAACAGCATTGTATGATGAGAACACCTCACAAAGGTTTTGCATAAGACCTTATGCCTACCATGCATTCAAGTCAACAATTATTTATTTCAAGATGTACATATTCTCTGTTCACAAAAAGTCCATCGAATGATAAAGAAGAAAGAACAAAGCCAGAGCCTTCCTGCACTTTTTCAGAGATCTCTCTTTAGGGCAGCACTTCTCAAACATCAAATTAGGGAAGCAGAAATCCATTTTGTGAGTCATGCTGTATATTTTTAAACTAGAATAGAGTGTTTTTAAAATGAATAGATTAGAATGCATTATATGTTGTAAGGAATAAATGTTGCTGGTCAAACATATATGTATCTTTATGCGTATGTGTACTAGAATGCAACACAAAAGTGTCTTTCTCACTCTGAGTCACCGTAAAAAGAGAAAAAGATTTGAAGCTGCTGTTGTAGGCTGGCAATATACATGTACTGTTCAAGAGAGACATCACTGCCCCCTGCTGGAGCTCTTGGTTTCTCAGCAAAGAACAACAAATGAACCTGTCTTTTGGTCATCCATCCCACAGAACTGAGCCATCCTCCCCACACCGGCCCATCTGGACTCACCTGGAAGGAACTCAGCCTTTGCTCTACCTTGATGTCCTAGATAGAGACAGGAACAGCTCCTGAAGTGGGAACTGGCTTTCAAACAGCTTTGAGAGCAGTGTCATCTCCTCCCACCCACCTGCCTATATCGCCTAAGAAACTAAACTGAGCCACCCTTGGGAAATCTAAGCCTCACATATTATTGTTGGTCCCACCCTGACCATCACTGCTGGGCAGAGTCTCTACCCACAAGCCAGCACCTGCCTCTGCTTCTCTGGGCAGAAGACACCCCTCCCAGGAATGCAAGCCAACTGCAAGGTCTCAAAGCCCTTGTCCATCATATCGAGCTCAAAAATGCTGGCTAGGTTGGAGAAGCAGGGTGGGACACACTGGTAATAACATTCTCTCCTGCCCAACAGGGAAATCTTGTCCAGGTTAAATTCAGGCACAAGGAGGAGCCTAACACTGCCACCAGATAGAGGGTCCCAGACCCTGTGACCACTACCATGAAATGAGTGCTCATACCAAACCACCACCATGTTATCTTGCTTAAAAGTCCAGGAGAGGAATACCTGAGGCTAAGAAGTACGTTAATTTGCTCTGGTACCCCAGCGGGACCTGCTGCAAACCTGAATGTCCCTGGATGCAAGACAGGAGCCCCAGCATCAGCTGATACATTTGTTGCATTTCTTAACATCAAGATTTATGCCAAAAAAATGTAATGGATTGCAAAGTACCACCTAAAACCTAATATGAAAAAAATTTTAAAGCTAACGTTAAAATAAACAAACTGATGGGTGGGAACATTGTAGGCATTTTTTTTTTTAGAACATAAACTATTTTATTAACTCCTTTTAAAAATAGCCTCATTTGTTTTGAGTCCTTTCTTCCTTGGGTAAAAGACTGTTCCCAAAGATAGATCTGCTTCAACCATTTCCTTGTCTGCAAGATAAAAAAGGTAAACAAAATCTTTATCAGATCATCTAATGTTTACCTTCTGTGCCAGGCACTGTGTGTACTTGGTACTTTCACAGGTGCTGACATAATTTTGACAGCACTTGGCTCAGAGAAGTTAATTCATTTGCTGAAGACTACACAGTTGCACAGAAGCAGACTCTAACCCAGGTATGACTAATAGAAATACCCATTGCTATGCCACCACCTGGGTAAATACAGAGCTCATTTCCTTGAATTTCTTCCTCCTCTGCCCTTGGTCTGTGCAACTCAATATCAAAATAAAGGAGGTCAAAACCATGGAGATCATGGTAGCCAAGGAAACACTGTGAGAAAGCCATAGACCTAAGCTTGCTAGGGAAATGTGAGAAGTAAAAGCAACATAGCACCCGAGGCTGGGTCCTGGATCAGAAAAAGAACACTATTGGAGAACCTGGTCAAACTCAAATGAAGCTAGAATGTGCACTCCACAGCCAGGACTCTTCCCTTGTAGTTCCCTGGACTTCATTCTCATATCATATCTTCTGAGTGCTTATAACCTTTGTTCTAGGGCTCACACTCACCCTGGACCTCTTTGGTCAGTCTCCATGCTGCTCTCCAACCTCCCCTCTCACTTTCCTCCACTGTCCCTGCTCCAGTCTCAGTGGACTTATCAAGGCTTCTCCCACCTCTGGACCTTTGCTTGACATATGCCTGTCTCTGCCAACACCAGCCTGCAGTTAGAATTAAGTATTTCTATTCAGGACTCAATTTAGATATGGCTCCTCCAGAAAGCGCTCTCTGGTACCCCTGCTCCTGTGACTGATAAAGCCCTTCCTTTGAGTCTCCCTAACACCCTGTAATTGATTCTCATCACACAGCTTCTGATCCTGAATCATATTACATATTTCATTGCTTGCCCCTTTCCTTTCAGCCAATGGGATCCCCACTTCCCTGAAGTGGAGGGTATGTGCCCAAACACAACTTGTATGACTGTCACTGTGAAGAGGCCAGTCCTTTTTGCTGCTTTCTCCACTTCTCCAGTTGTCCAAACTAAAAAGTGATGGCCTAGTCTATTTTTCTGTACCCCATGCTTGTGAACCTCTATTTTCAAACATTAGGTCAAGCCAAGGCTTTGTGCTTTCACTAAGCAACAGGACCTCGCTTTAATTGACTGCAGTGTTTCCATTATTTATGAAACTCCATTTATGGAAAATGACTCAAGTTTTCTTAAAAAATGAATTATATGAGTAAGAAAGTAACCTCACTTTCTAAAATTTTGGCAAAAGGTTCTCAGAGCAGCGCCATGGTGACAAATGCATGCACAGATACATGCACACATACATGCACTGCACAACTGTTACGTTAGCTCAGAATGACAGAACTAAGTCATGAGACTTGGAGTAAGTACTGCTGTGTTTGCCACTAACTAACTATCCAGCTGGCGTGGGGGCTGCTTTTCTGTCTTTCTGTTTACGCACTTATAAACTGGCCAGAATAAAATTGGGAAGCAAGAATATGTAATTTCTTCACCCAGACACCAATTCTCGTTCTAGTCATACAATGTGAATATAGCACTGCAGTAAAGCAATCCAAAGGTGAGCCTCCCTTAGAGACCAAAGGTCTGAGGTACAGGGAGGTCAAATGATGTCCCAAAATCACCTGTGACTTGACAACAAAATCCCTGTCTCCCATCCCTGGAGATCCACTCCGCAGCCCCATTCTGACACTTCTCCCCTGCCTCTTCTCTCCCCAAAGAAACTCTGGCCAAATGAGTTACACAAATCAACACACAAAAAATAAAAGATACCCCAAACTAATGGAAAACCAATAAGAAAAGGAGAAAAAGTGGTGCTCAGATTTCAGAATATTAACACTATTAGTTAGGGAAGTCATGCACTGGAATGCTGAAAACACATCACAGGCTTTTCCACAGTTTTGTAGTTCTGACGCTGGGTTTTTGTTTGATTTTTGCATTTTTTGTTTCATTTTGTTTTTGTGGTGCTGGGGCCTTTGCATTAGCTGCATCCCCAGCTCCACTTTTTAAATTTTGAAACAGTTGCCCAGGATGGACTCCAACTTGTGCTCCTCTGGCTTCAGCTTCCCGGAGTGCTGGATGCACAGGTGTGCTCCACCACACTCGGCTGTCCTCACCTTTCATTTAGATGAGACACAAGCAACCAGCAGGCAAGCAGCAGGTGGAAATTTGGGGAGGAAGGTTAAAATAAATAGGTAACTAATTCAGTTTGGGCTATGATATACAGATAACAAGACCCGCTTACATGGAGAACCAGTAAAACCATCACTTCACTCAGTGTGGATCATGAGAAAAAAAGAGCATCAGCACAAGTCCATAAAGAACAGTTAGCCCACATTTTTTCATTGAGCTTTGCAAACACTTTTAAAGACTATTGTAACTAGGAATTTATATCCAGAGTGTAGGAATGTAATTACATGATACAGTACCTTGCTCATCTAAAAAAAATAGCCTTATCCTTGTTCGGAGGAGCATCTGAACATTCATATGTGACCTAATTAGAGACAAATCTACCATATTTACAAGTATATCAAAATGCATAGATCTACAAAATTTTGTCCAAAGCTTCCAATAAAATGTAAAGTGGATAGAGACATTACCCTTTGCACATGTGTCTGGCTGTGTATGAACGAATGTAAATGTGTACATATGCACATGTGTACTTGCAGCTATTAAGAAAGCTCCGAGCAAACAAAACGTTCATGTGAGAAGACATAGAAGTTTCAAGTGATTACAAAACACAATGTGAGCCAAGGTTAAGATGTCAATGCTGGGAAGAAGCAAAACCTTAACACAAAGTAAAGAAGCACCACTGAATTACATTCATTACAGTTACATTCCTCTGTACTCTTCACCCACCAGCCCATGTCAACAGCTTGGTGCAGTCCTGGGAATCACACTTTCAGAGAAACAGCAAACATCAAATCTGACCAGAAGATAACGATCAGTTACTGGGAAAGGGGAGATAATCTGTAACCCGAGTCAGATGAGGCATGGCTCATGGCATGGGTTCTAGGGCCAAGCAAGCCCTCTTCAAATATAAGATGTGTAACTGTTCTGGAATGTGTGTGCCCCTGACCATCTCCAAGGAATGTTGTTGAAAGGACTCTACATGGAGATTAGACAGACTAGCATCAACCACAACATTCCTCCCAGCTTGGGGATTTTGTAACTTGTGGTGGGAACAAAACTGCATTTATTTTACAGTGCAGAGCATTAAATCATTTCATTTCCTTCCTGGGAAAGAATAGTTCATAGAGTGAAGATCACATGCTAACCAAGCCCCTAAGAGAGGAGAGGAGCTGATGTGCAGCTAATCTTTGTGACAGGAAGATGCCTTGACTCAGTGTATTCCTCCCTTCCTCTCCCACCACACAAACAACATCTAATAGTCCTAAAAAGCTAGAAACAAAGGACAGATGATTTGACAGTCAAATCTAAGCTGGTGGGCATCAGGTGGAAAGGACACTTGTTTGATGTGTGTGCACACATCTCTGAGCAAGAATGAACATTTTTGGGGCTGAAGATTTAGCTCAGCAGCATAAGCACCTGCCTTGCAAGCAGGCAGTCATAAGTTTGATCCCTGTTACCAATAAAAAGTTAAAAAAAAAAAAAAAGAATGAACATTTTCATGAAACATGCATACTTCTGGGATAGACCTTTGACATACTAACTATTAGCAGTAAGAACCAGGAAGTTCATGTTCAATAAGTTTTCCTAGGTAATTCTTGGGCAAACTACCAGAGAAACCCTGTTGTAGAGTAGTGCTCTCCAAATTCTATTCAGAATCACCCCAGGAGTTTGCTAGAGTTAGGGCTCTGAGGTGTGGAGATTGCAATTCAGAGATCTTAGGTAGAGTTCAAGAATTTGCATTCCAAACTATCTCACAAGTGAGTTGCTGCTCCTAAGAATTCCTGATTCCATTCCCAAGTGATTCCCGCAGTGGTAGATAACTCCAGAAATGATCCCCATCTCCTGATGTTCACTTGGTACCCCTTAAACTCCTTGTGCAGGCTGGGCCTGGTGATGCACTCACACTGAATAGAACAGGTAAAGCTAAGGGATGTCACTTCTGGCATCCATGGTGATAAGGCAGTGACTGTTTCCTCTCTCCTGCTTGCTTTGCTCACTTGCTCCTCACTCTGGGGAAGTGAGCAGCCACGCTGGGAACTGTCTAACGGAGGGACCCACGTGATGCCCAATGGCCAGCAAAGAACCAACTCCTGCCAACCTGCTGGCCACAGAACCTTCTCTAGCTGACCTTGCTGCCACCTCGACTGAAACCCTGTGAGCCAGGCAACTTGGTTAAGCCACACTTGGATTCCTGCCCCCAAAGAGGCTGTGAGATAATAAATACCTGCTGTTCAAGCCATCCCTTGTGTCCTGCAGTGAATGATTACCAACAGAGGTGCTTTGTGAAGGAGCTGCCCTGACCCAAGTGAGAATCGTGTAGGTAACCCATCTTTCAAGTCTCTGATCTCTCATGTCCCCAACATAAAGGAGACAGAATCTGTGTGTGGATGTCAAAGGTCAATATTTAATGATGTACACTATTTACATGTAATTTATGTCATAATATCGTAATGACACTCTATTTCAAGCTTTGGTCATTGACAAGCTTTGGACTCCTTCACTGGACTTTAGGGAAAGTCATGTGGGAGCACGGCTGGGGCCAGGACAGAAACATGAATCCCAGTCAGCACCAACCTCATGTCCTGTGCTCCCTCTGGCCATCCTGAGGCTGGCCTTTTAGCTAAGAACATGATGAATTCTCTCCTGTCAGTCCCCTCATGAGCATGAGGAGTGGCACCTCCTTTGGTTTTGAAGAAAGAAACCATGGGTTCTTCCCTGACAAGTGGTAGGATCTTTCCCTGAGAAAATGGGGGAAGGGCATGAACTTTGATCTGCCTGCCTTGACAGCACAGCACCTGATTTCCTCGCTGGGGTAAAGTTTCCTCATTTCCTCCAGAACTACATGATGAGAAGGTGTGTTTCTCGGGCTGCTTGTGTGGAAAGGCCACCGATACCTGGAGATAAGGCCCCGAGCCAGGATGTCCCACTGTGGCTCCACCATCAACTCCTTGTGTGGCCCAGGATGAGCCCCTCTCCCTCTGGACTTCTCCCAGTGACATGAGCAGGCTGGGTCAGGAGAGGACTCAGAGCCTCCCCTCAGCATCTGAGATCCTAGGCAGGGAGGCAGCGTCCAGCCACGGCAAATGGTCCTAGGTGGGCGGGCTCCCCTCAGAGCGCCAGGCCCCCACTGCTTAGCCACCTCGCCCGCTCTGAGGAGCACCCCAAGGGGCTGCTGTGCCACAGAGGGCTCTGGCGGATATCGTCCAGCCTGCTCCTAATGGTGTCCTGCAGCTCCTCATCATCGAGTAGGACCGCGGCTGCCAGGGCCAGCAAGAAGTATTCAGTGGCACCGTGAGCATCCTAATCCCCCAGAGGAGAAAAGAAAAGGACACAGTGTTAGCAAACACTTGCAGGATACCCTGGGAGGCAGTGCTAAGTAGCCTAGCTTCTATCTGCCTCACGTGCCCAAGCCCGCATCCTGGTTCTTCAGGGGAGCTCCTGCCCTGCCCCACCCCACAGCATCACTCTCAGGTAGCATTTTAGCCAGGTTTGGCCAATCATGACACATCAATGCCCTGGACACAGTGCTTCAGGGATGTGTATGACCAAACCTGACCTATCCATCACATGCTAGGACTCTTCAGTGTGACCCAGCAGGGAAAATAGTCTCTCGTCCTTTTGGACATGCCTAAAGCCTCCCGGTGGCTGGAGGGAAGGAAGCCAAGAAACACAGACAAGTATAAACATAAAGGGTCAAGAAATACAGAGGAAGGTGAGGAAATCTACAGTGTTGGAGGACCATGAGCCAAAATTACCTGGAACAAAATCTATACCCAGGTTCCCAGGTACTGGAGCCAGTATACTACCTACTCTACCTAAGATTCTTTGAGTTGCTTTTCCTTTGCAACTGCTAGAACCCTTGGCTGGTGCGGTCAGTCCTTGCACACTGTATCCATAAACACCTTCCTGGGATCTGTGGAGCTGCAGCAAGATGGCCAAGGAATCCTATACCTCCCCATTGCTTCCTACATGGCAGGGATGAGAAACAGATGCTCCTTTGGGTGAGACTCAAAAAAGATGTCTGGTTCTCATTAACCCTCAGAAGTCAATAATTAATTCAGGCCAGAGACAAAGTCTAGCCAGTGAAAAAAGAATGGTAAAACTGCCCTGAGACTCCCCTGGGGCTCCAACAAAGAAGAGACTCAGAAGTCACTGCACTCAGAAATTAAGGGTTGTGCTGGGAAGGACAGGGGACCTGTGTAAAGGGAGGCAAACTTTGGGACTCTGTTCCAGAATCAGAGTTGTAACATAGAACTGAAGACCACCAATACAGCTCTAGAAGTGACCAAAAAATAAACTCTAGACACCCCCACCCTAGCAAGCAGGAAAAGCAGAGCTAGAACCTTCTTAAGACCTAGGCATACTTACACGCAAAGGTTCCACACTTCATTATCACAAAAATATTGATATACACCCATGTGTCTCACGAAATATAGGTTCGTGAAACTTTCTAAGAAATGATTGACAGCTGGGCTGTAACATTCTGTGGATGTACAATCAAGGATTCATTTTGATTTTGATTTTTGAGCTTATGGTCCTTTGGGGTAGGAGTAGGAAGAAAATGACACATTTCTGTGGGCTCTTAAGGAATTCACAGCACTAGGAAATGTCCCCAGGGTGTCTGATAGATAAAGCCACTACAGGAAATACAGCAGAGTTGAAAATAAAGAACTATGAGCTGTGTTCTCAGTGGATGTGGGATATCTTTGAAGTCTCCAGGGGTGCTTAGCAGAAAAGACCACAGTGTCCCCTGCAGGGCCCCTCCCCACTCTGTGAATCCAGACTCCTCATCCTGGTCCTCAGGTCCTCTCAGTTCTGCCCCCAAAACCTCCTCACCACCATTGCCTATGTGAGGAGAGCATACGGCTGGACAGCAGCTCTCACACAACCTTGGATGTCTGTTTTTTACCTTCAGTTGGTAGAAGGTGAGTCGGCCTAGGCGATAATACACCTTAGCATGATACAGCACCTCCTTGGGACTCTGCAGCCATGGTGGGCAAAGGGAAAGAGCCTTCAAGTAGCAGTCCTCGGCCATCTCGTACATATGCAGTAAGTAGTACACTGTAGCCAGGCGGTGAAAGGCCACCAGCTTCTGCTTCTGGTCTCCTAGGAATTGGAAGGCTGAGAGAGATACCTTGTGGCCGGCACTTTGCGTCACTCATTCACCCATTCATTCCAAAATCTTCTGAAAGTCTACTGAATGGCGGGGACTATGCCTGAGCACAGGAAACAACACAGCAGAGGTTCCTGTCCCGAGTCGGTGTTCTTATGGGACACTGACATCCCTCAATAGTCCCACCAACAAATGTGTATTTTTACCTGTGCACAGTCCTACCAAAGAAAATGCAGGGCTCTCTATGAATGACTAAGTAGTATCTATGATCAATCATTTCTGAAGACATGTTCTCCTATTGTAGATGACACTGGAATTCAGAATTCTGGGAAAGAGTTATCTCCAAACCCCTGTACTGGGGCCTGGTGACAAGATTAGCTTGAATGAACAGCTGAGAATTCCTTACAAGGAATAGCTCAGCATAACAAGTGTGGTCTCAGCACAAAAGTCTCTTCAGAGTGCTCCTTTACAAACTCTGTTTGACCTACCTACCCAGACCCATTCACTTTTAAATCAGGCTCTGAAACTTTGGCTTTTAAGGGGGGGTCTGACCTGCCAAGTGGGGTTTTGGTGGGATTATTGTTTTAATAACTATATAACTACTGTAATACAATTTGACCTCTTACGGGAAACAAAGGTTTACAAGCATATTTTGGAATATGTGTAAGGTAACTATTAGATGTCATCTAAAAATATCATTTTTAAATTTCAAAGAGCAGAAAGCCAAAATAGAAGAATTCCAAAGGAGAGAAACTCTGATACAGAAAAAGCCAGCCACAGACAAGCGTATTTCTAAGGGGTGAATACAGTGTCCTTTTACCTCCCAGGGGCACAGGGCCCTGAAGGCCTTTCTCAGATGGGGGCTTCTGCAATAAATAAAAGAGCAGGAAAAAGACAGAGAGACTGAGAGGGCAATTAGACAAAATGAAGTCCAGTGCCATCTGCATCAGATACCCTTGAAAATGACCAGAGGTCCCTTTTAGAACCATTGCAAAAGATTTTATTTATCCCTATGTCTAATGAAGGCTTTGCTAATCACCCCTGCTTTTCCTCAGCACCAAGTGAAGAGCAGGGTTGTCTCTTTTCTTTTTTTAATCTTTTTTATTCTGGTTTTTTTTTCTGAATGACTTAGATTGTTTCCCATTGCTTTTGCTGTAAATGCAATCTATTCCAACTATGTTGTGAGTTACGCTAATAGGAAACTGACCTTCATTTACATTTTCATTTCATGGGAAAATGTCTTTCTGGTACCAATCAACCAATTAAAAACCAAGGGCAAAGTGCTTATGTAATGGAAGCATTGTGTTTGCATCGGATAAAAGTACTGAGAGAATAACAGCAACTGTCATATTAATAATTAGTGTGGCACAGGTCACACTGACAAAGGATATATGTGACCAAAGACTTACACGTCTAGCACTGTGCTGTGGCCTTTATGTGAACAACGTTGGTCTTCATAACAACTGTTGAGGTGGGCACGATTCTTAACCCTGATTTGCTCATGACAAACATGGGGTTTATGGCAGTTAGGTAATTTACTTAATTAAATTCTCCCTGTCAGTTAGCCCTGGGATCTGAACCCACAAAGTCTGAATGCAGAGCACTGCAAGCTGCTGTTATCTATTCCTAAGTAGCACTGTCCCTCCTGAAGACACAGCTGACAGCTCGGACTGCCTACCTGTGACTATGCTCAGCCTGGCAGCAAGCGTGGCGAACTCCAAAGCCTTCTCATAGCCCTCAAGGCCGATCTGCAGCTCCGTCAGTTTGTTGAAAAGCCGAAGCTCAGTTCTGAGTGCTTTCAGCCTCCTTGCTAAAGGAACAGCCCCAGCCTGAGGACACAAGCACAGGGACCTTAGTCTACGGCACTGGCCACAGACTAAGAGGCTTGTCCTTTCCTGGGAGGGTTGGGGGTCATCACCACGTTTCCAATCAATGCCTTTCCTCAGCTTATGCTCCTGCTCCTTGCTCTTAGTAACATGCCTAGGGTGTAGAGACTGAAGAGCAAGAGGTCAGCAGGTCTCCTAAATCCGGGACAACTGAGAGCAGGACAGGGAGGTTGCTTCTCCTAAAACCACCTGGGAAGTAATTCACATCTCGGATGTTGTCTCTCCGTGCCCACAGTGCTGATCTGTGAAACATTCCTATGAGTACACGCACAGTGTTCAATAAATGGTCACTTCTACTATTTTCATTATACTGAAATTTTAGGCAGGTCACTTCACCCCCTGAGTGTCACCTTACTTATAAAATGCATGTGAAAATAAATAGTCAGGAATGTGTTTCTTATTTTCCTGACTCAAATTCAGTGCCTGACATATTATGCTTGCCTGATAATATTTAAACTGAACAAAGAAATAAACATCTGGATAAATAAAATGTTAGGGTCAAATAAGATGAAGTTTCCCAGTCTCCGAATATCTGGACACTTATTCAGTGTTATTTTTTAAATCAACTTTTTTTGCCTCATCCTTTGCAATATCTGTGAAATCATCGTAAAATTATACATTTTAATAAATTCTTTAAAACAATCCACTATGACACCAGTAATAAGTGGGTAAGACTAGTAAGCATTGAAGTATGATTTTTTAAAAAGTACCATACATACATGCGTGAGGTCTAGTACTAGGGTATAGTGTCCCAAGAAGGGTGATACATCAAGCCTGAGACTGATGGAGTTTATCAGATCCTTCCCTGAACACAGGGTGAGTACATTAGTGTGGGAAAAGGAAGGGAAGAAAAAGAAACACAAATAAGAAAGGCAGAAAGGGACCAGGGCTAAGCTCTGGGGTGAGCCTGCCCACATCTGTGGTGCAGTGCGGCTCAGCCTACTGCGCAGGCCAGGACTTACCCGGTAATACTCCACCGCGCGATGCCTGTGGCGGGTCCCATTGAAGAACACATCACCTGCTTCTTCGTAAAGTTTGAGAGCCAAGGAGGACTCCTCTAACTTCAAGGCTGCCTGGATGGCTGCCTGGGTGAAAAGAGACAGCTGTCAAAGGCAGGGAGAAGGGCCTCTAGGGCTCCACAGTACTGGCCAAAGTAAGATCCAGATCTGCCAGTTCAATCCTCTGTCTCCAACATCTCCAACTGGCCTGCACACGTACACGATGACAGAAAGACCCAGAGATTCTGCATCTAGTATTTCCCTATCATAGTGTGCACCATTTGGTGATACTAAAGTGATTTCTAGCGGTACAAAAAGAAACACCTTATGTTTTCATAGTTAAGCATGCAATGTACTTCAGGGAAAAGATTACTGATGCCTCAAACCAGTGACTTCAGGTAACACTGCTTGTAGCAGAGCTAAATGTTAAAAACGTCAGTTGATGTGAAGTTGAGTCAAAGAAAATGAAGTAAATCCTGGTATAGAAGGCACACGGATATACCAAAGCCAGGAACTTAATGTGCAAATGATCAGAAGTCAGATGTAATCCAACACCTGCTCTTCCCAGATGGAGACAGTGAGACTCTGAAAGGATGTGGAAGCTCTCCAAGGTCACACCAATAGTAAGTGACAGACGCATGTGAGTATCCTCCACCTAACACCCTTCTCCCAGCCCCACAACCTCTTGGAATGGACATCAACCCACTCTGGCGCCAGCCAGTCCGTTTGGAGGGTTCAGCTGCCTCCTCACATGGCCCTCGTCAGCGCATCTTTACCCACCTGGAAGTAGAGCTCCACCAGCTCGTCCTCCTGCAGGAGGTAGTAGAGTCGTCCAGCCCCGAGCCAGGCCTCTGCTGCCTTGTCTCTCTCCTCCAGGTCGATGAATATGCGCAGGCTCTCCTTGATGCAGGTGAGAGACCTCCTGAGGGACCTGGAGTGGGGGGGGGGGGGGGACATGGACCTGTGAGGCGGGAGGGATCTCTTGGGTACCCAGAGATCACCGGGTACCCAAGACAGCTGAGCCCTGGGAAGGAAGTCTTCTCCCAAACCACACAGAAAGGTCAGACCTGAGCCAAATCCCAGGTCTGCTGGTTGTGTGACCTTGAAAAAATACAGACTTCTCTGTACCTCACTTTCCCCATCTGTTGAATGAGACTGTAATTGTATCTGCCTGAGGGGGTTGTTGTACGTGCTGAATGGGACAATAAAACTAACCACTGATGAATAAGTATTGGTTTGGTCCCTGTCTTTAGACTGCACTGTAACATTTTTTTTTCCCATAAAGCACCTAACACACAATAGACACCAAGTGCACATTTATGGAGCAAATGCATGAATGGGTGGCCACAGTGATAACCTTAAATCATCAAAAAGGTTTGAATATTTTTCTAAGAAGAAAAATTAAAGAAGGGTGAAAGTTTTTTAAAATGGTGCTTGAACAATTCCTCTTTAGTTATTTGGAAACTCTTTAATTATTTGGAAAATCATAATACACAGAAAGCCTTTCCCTCATGACATGGATTAATAAAGAAATGAGGCGTGAGTTATGTGGTCTTGTGCAGACTCAGAATTTGAGAACAGAAGGAGCCTTGGGCATCTTCTGGACAGCAGTTCTCAAAGCCAGCAGCAATTAGTCACCAGAAGCATTTTAAACCACACAGTCAGAGCATGCAGTTCACCTCCATGTGTTGAAACGTCGGGGGAGCCTGAGGCTTGGCTTCTCGGGGAGCATTTTGTGAAAGCTCCTGCTTAACTCCTGGTTGAGACTTGCTGATTTAGTCCAACTCTTTCATTTTATAAAGTGAACAGGCTCAGGGATGGAAAATGACTTTCTCAGGATCATGTATAAGCAAGGGGAAACCCAAAGCTGGAACTTCCTTCTCCCGAGTTCCAGCCTAAGATTCACCCCACACTGCCCACGTTTCCCACAGCATGATTTATGGCCCACCTGTGTCAGCATTACCCAGGGAGCATCTTAAAGCCGGATTCCCAGAGTCACTTCCAACTGCCTGAATCAGAATCATTAGGGCTGCAATCTCAGAATCTGAATTCTCGGATACACCCAGTTATGCTCATGCACACTCAGTGTGAGAACCCCAGCACCAGACCTATCCTAGAAAGACATAGCCTACTAGAAACACTCATCAGTGTGAACTACATCCATGTGAGCCACCCAATGTGGTTACCACCTGCTATGGTTTTGAAGTGATTTGCTCTCTATGTGGGAGACTTGATCTTCAATGTGGTGATGTTGAGAGGCAGAGAGAGGCTTTTAAGAGGTGAGGCTTAGTAATTGGATAATTGGGTCAAGGTAATTGAGTCAAGGGGACATCAATTGTCCTCCTAGGAAATCATGCCATCTTCATGGGACCTCCGTTAATTCCCATGGGATTAGCATTAATCCCATTGCTATTATAAAGAGCAGGGCCGCCCCATTCCTCATCCTCTGGCTTCCTGTCTCACCGTGGATCTCACTGTTGTGATGTCATCGGCCATGGGGCCTTCACCAGAGCTGGGCCACTGGTAATACCACTCTCTGGGACTTCCAAAATTATGAGCTAAAGATGCATTTTTACTCACCACACAACCTCACATATGTCATTATAATAATGGGAAATGAATTGACATGCACCTCAACCCACCACAACTTGGCCACCAAGCCCCCTTCTTCACAAGAGACAGAGGTAAACATTGCTTTTTACTGACGAATCCCTGGCAGTGAGACAGCTGTTGGCTTACTGGAGAGGGTGTCAGGCTTTTGGCGGCACAAGAACTGGGAAGAATGAACTCAGGCTCTCCTCACTGGCTTACCCCGGACATAAGTTTATTGTCAAACCACAGTGGCACACACTCGTATTGCAATAGTTCAAGAAACTGAGGCAGGAGGATTGAGACAAGTTTGAGTCCTACTTAGGCAACCTAATGGGACCCTGTGTCAAAATAAAGAATAAAATAAGCCTGGGGACAAAGCTGGATGCAAAGGACCGGAGTTCAATCTCCAGTGCTGAAAAAAAAGTTACTGATATCCAGGGTAGCAACTGGTGTATCTCAGGTATTAGAGTTTCGATCAGATTTGCTGCTAAGGCTGTGTAGTGAACCGAAAAGCCCATGCAATGCTGAGGAGGTCAGTAACCTCCCTGGCTGGACTACAATAACCACAGGCCCCCCTCACAGCAGACGGCCCTGTCCTACTTCCTGCCCTGCACCCTCAGTGCTGTGTGGAGCTAAGAGGTCTGGCGGGCCTGCCCTGTCCTGCTCTCCTGGATCTCACTGGACAGCTGATGGAGACAGAACCCATGAACCTCATCTTGATCTAACTTCCTGCTGTATTTTTGTTTATTACCATCTGCTATCTAGCATGTCCTTGGACTGAAGTTATTTTGTCCAGACATTCAGAGAGAAAACTTTGAATGCTTGCAGAGAGGCCAATTCACAGAGCAGGTATTTGCTTTTTTGACTGTGGAACACAGATCATTTCTCTCTAAGAAACACCTCATTGTGGGAGAAGGCAAGACTGACGGAGAACTAGCTACTCACACTGCACCATCCAGATTCCAAGCCAGAAGTGGGTTTCCTAAAGGAATTCCTTCTCACCAAGACTGATATCTGATCCACGATATATCGTGGATATATCTGATCCACGATATATCGTGGATATATCTGATCCATGATAGCCCATAAAAAATAAGTGCCTTTGTGGTCTAAAATCGGGAGGTGGCCTCCAGTTTTCCTGATTTCTTCTCACTACCACTCTTCATCCATTATTTTATATCTGCCAGTGGTTCTGCTGTGTCATTCAGCACCTGAGCCACAGGCTCCACCTGGGGAGGGTCCACCTGGCTGAGGGTCCCAATTCCTCCAGCCACCCCCTGCAGCTCTAACTGTGGTGTGGCTTCCCAACCAAAAGAAGTGAGAGGAGCCACCAGGTCAGCATCAACTCAGTCATACGTACTCCTGGTTCTCCTATACTCCCTCCACCAGAGTATCGCCTCTGCTTCCCAATCCTCACTCTTCTCAGTTTCTCCTTCTTCTTGTCTCCAAGCCAGTCCCTGAGGTTCCATTCTCACTTCCTCCTGCCTGCCTGAATAGCAGCCACGAACCTGTGGCCACACTGGTATTCCCAGACACCCTCTTACCAACACTGCAGGACTTTCCAGCCACCTGCCCTACCTGAATGAGTCTGTGTGACTGACCTCTGTCCAACATCCTGCCTCCACCGACAGTAAGGACTAGCCTCTTCTGAGGGCTGACTCACTGCCAGGTGTGAGGGCATGAACTTTCGAGGCACATTCGCTCCTACAGTCACCATGGAAATTCTCAGCTGAGAGGGTTCTGAGCTCATTTTGTAAATAAAGAGGACCGATGGGTTTTACTTATTTAGCTTACCCAAATTTTCCCACTCATTGCAAAAGGTTTATTTTGAACTCTCTCTATGTGACCCATAGTAATAGTGGGCAGTATTATTACCTGAATTTACTGGGCAACCAGCATGAGCTAAGATCAGAAAATGTAAGTGACTTGAACCAAGAAATAAGTCCTGTTCAAATCAGTATATAACCATAGAAGTTTGAGTTCACACTCAAACAGTACTCAATTTCTGGCTCACATAACCAGGTGTAGGAGGAGACTTGCTTTCTTATACCATTTTATAAAAGCCCTAGAGGACATATGTGATTTTAAATCTTAAACAAAGTTTCCTCATCTGCAAAAGCAGAAGGCTTCAGGTTCTGGGGTGCACACCTGTAATCCAAGCCCCAACGGAAGCTGAGGCAGAAGAATCACAAGTTTGAGGGTAATGTAGCAAATCCTTGTCAAAAAATAAAAATTTAAAAGTGCTAGAGATGTAACTCAGTGGTACACTACCCCTGGGTTTGATCCCGAGCACCGTAAATTTTTTAAAAAGTGGGATGGTAGTTTACATCACAGCCTGAGAGCATATAAGAATATAAGTAAAAAAAATTGTTTCCTTGTTTAAGATTATAGAAGTGTCAGGGATTAGTAGTATTAGTTACACTGAAAGACCAAATGTCAAGGTATTTTTTCAGTTCCATGGAAACAAGATAAGAATAAGGATAAAAGACAGAAGTAAAAGATAGTACACTGCTATTGCATTCACATGCAAAGAATTATTATTCTTGCACTATGTGTGCAAGGCATTCCCTCTTTTTAGAAAACATACTATGTACATTTTTTGTGGAACCTACTACAATTTATATGAAAACTTTGATTTTTCATAGAATGTCTATTTCCTATAAAATTCTTTGAGCTTTGCAAGCTCAGAGACTAACTCTGGCTCCTTCCTAGCATGGTACAGAGGCCATAATAAGTGCTCAGAAAGATTTGTTAAAGTGATTGGATGTGTCCCCAAGTGTCTCAGTACCCACCTAGCTGAGCTCTAGAGTAGGGAGTCAGCCTGTGCACGTCACTCAAGACAGAAGACAAGACAGACAGAGACACCTCCCACTGGGAGACAGAAAAACTATCAAGCCAGATTCTGTAACTGTCACCTACAAGGCAGGAAGAACATGATTCTGAAGGTATTTGAATAAAAGATAGCAGAGTGTCCCAAGGTGAAAACCTCAAGGCTGGTCCAAAGTTGTCAGCACCTTCTTGTCCTCCCCCCACCACCACCTCTGGCTTTCACACTCTAGGGCAAATATTTCAAATATAAAAAATTAAAAGCAGCAGAAAGTCAACATGAAAAACTAAACACCACCTTAATTTGGAAAGTTGGGGATCTAAGCTAATACCAATGAAACAAAGGGACAACACCAGGCTACACTCTGTAGCAGAGAGAGAAGGCTTGATGAAAAGCAAAGCCATTCTCCTTGTAAGCTTTCACTACACAGTCATCAGCACATCGTATTATTTATCTAGGGTGGGGACTATTGGCTGGTCAAGCAGAGTACATAAAAAAGTACTTAAGAATAT